TTAGTTCAAACTAGCTTAGTGGACTCCTCATATTTTTTAAGTAGTGTAGTCCTTTAACTAATAATGTACAACGACGAATTAGTCGCTATGTGAAAGTTCTGTAATATTTTGGTATTTCTTAATATCTTAATAAAGACATGCTATTTCGACATGATTGCGGGTTAAAAAAAAAAATAATAATAATAATTAAAATTTTTACAATTTTTTATTAAAAAACTTTTTTTAATTATATAATTTATTTAAATTTAATAAATAAAAAATATTAATTTAATAATAAATTGCTATTTTTGAACTTTTTAAAAAAATTTTAAATTAAATTTACAAAATAAAAATTTAATAAATATATTAAGAATCCTTAAGAATTTTTTTATATATAAAAAAAAATCTTTTTTTATTTTTAATTATTTACTATTATAAAAATCTATTCCCTGACTATTTTTTTATATAAATTTATATATAAAAATTTACAAAAAATTTTATATGGTTATTTTTTTAACTTTAAATTAAAATTTTGAACTATAGAAAAATAAGATTTTTAGTTTTTTATTAATTATAAAGTTGAAACAATTATATATAAAGATTATAAAAAAAAAGATTTTTAAAACTTATTTTAGACTGTATAAAAAATTTTAAAATTTCATTTTTAGAATTATAATAATTATCAAATATTTTTTATTTCAAATTATACCAATAAACTTTGGAATCTAATTGTTTAACTTAAATTTTTCAATATAATACATGTTTAAATAAAGGATTCACTAATCAAAATTTGTCTATAATATTATAAGTAATAACAAAAAATTGAAATCTCTTCTAAGGTTTAAGTAAAAAGTATTAAAATATTTAGATAATTAAATAATCTTTAAGAATTTGAGCTTCAATATATAAGTTACTGTAGTATATATAATATAATAAAAAACTATATTAGTATACTGTATAGTTATAGACAGTTATATAAATTATATTATTGATATCTTTATATTAACTATTCATTCTCTAGTTGATCTATTTATAAAATAATCATTGAATTTGTTTAGAACAATTATAATAGATTATTATTAATCTGTATATACTGTATATAAAAATAAATAACTTATATAAAATAATAGATATTATGCTGAGGATTTAGTTATTTGTCAAATATTAAATTGATTCTTAATAAAGAGCTTGTATCTAATCTCAGTCATAGTTTAAAATAAATAAATAAACAATTTTTTTATATGCAAGCAATAAAATTTTTATAAAAAAATTCTAAAAAAATTTTTTTTTTTTTAAAGAAATTAATATAATGTATAGATTATTTATCAAATATTAACTATAAATTTATAAAATTTTATAAAATTTTTAATAAATTATAAAAAAAAAATTACAACTCTTTTCATTGATCCTTTGATCACATACAAAAAAGATGTTTGCAAGAAATTTCTATACTTTCTTGCTAATAAAGTCTTATTACTTTCTTTAAATCAACTCAAAAAAATTTTTCAGAACTCCCTCACTTCTCCTCCCTCTTATTTACAATATTTTTTAAATAAATCAAATTCTTGTGGTCTGCAAAATTCAGCTCTTGCTTTTATTAACAATGAAAGAAAGTTTCTAAAAGGAAAAGGACCAATTGTGAAGTACCTCTCACCTCTCAGCTATATTGGAGATAACAGAGATTTTATTCCAGTCAAAGGATTTATTTTTTAACTTTTAACTGGGATTGTAGCCTCTTAGAGCTACCTTTTTCACAGCTTTCTGAGGAATTTTGCCTAGTCCAGCTTGACCCTGAAATTTTGGGTAGTACAAATATTACTAATTCTGATTGGATGACACAAAACACGTTGAACAAGATTAATAAACAAGCTCCTATTGGCCACTTCACATGTCTAAATGCATTTTCTCAGCTCCATAAGAACCTGGGGTTCACCATAAGTTATATGTGTTAGTGTAGATAGATACAGAACATGTTACTGACACATCATTGAATATAAGAAAGAGTCCATCCGATCATGGTAAAAGTCACAAGATGCTTGATTGATCTTTTCTCAAGTCAGAGCCATCTATATCCTGATTATATGTCAGGTAGATTCCAATTATACTGCCTGGAAAGTCTAAATCAGAGAAAGTATAGAGCCATTAAGGATATTCAGTAGTAAGGCTTATGTGCAAAGTAATCCAGGAAGTTTTCATTTTATCTTCAAAACATCTTGAGCTGGAAGACTGGAAGGTTAATATTATTACACCAATCAAAATATCAGCAGTGACATACGAGCTGGCCAGAATGTCTGAAAGATCCTCATTAATTGTTAGTATCAATGGCCACCAGCAGGATATGTCGACTGCAAGGCTAGGTGCTGTCCTTCATATAAGAATTAAATCTGAAATAAGATGTATAGATGGATAAGTATACTCATATTTAAATAGAAACGGGTTTAATTGACTATATATTGGGAGACTTTCAAGTCAATCATGTGGACACCAATATACCACCTGGACCTTCTTGACTACTTCTCCCCATAAGCCTTAAAACTGTACAGTCTCCTCTTTGGCCTCCACCTTATTTCCATAAAAGACTCAGTAGAAGTTTTCCCCCAAACCTTTTCATGAGGGGAATTTGAACAAGACAGGCATGTGTCAAGAAACAAGACCGATACATTTCACATGACTGTCCAATTTTTCTTTCATTTCTTTTATTTTAATTTATGACACCAGCATGCTCTAGGGATGCTGGTTTTTCCTTGAAAAAAGAAAGGGCAATAAGCCTCAAAGTAGCTTTAGAATAATTTTAGCTTATCATTATCTTTATCTTCCCCTAATATACATCCATGTATTCATGCTTTGCGCAATGTAAGCTAGTAATTTGGGATTCAATAAAGTTAGGCATGAGCCCTACAAAATAATAATAATAATAATAATAAATAATAAAAAATGTTTTTATTATTAATTATTATTCAACATGATACGATAAATATTTTTTAATTTCGATGTAATCAAATAGCAATAGTGAATTGTCATTCTTATCATTGAATTCAGAATACTGTGCACTAAACGTAATGAATGGCTTTCTTCTTAATCTAAAAATTGCATAAAAAAAAAAAGAGGTTGAATATTATTTATCTATCGCACGTTTATTATAGAATATCCTGTATCTTATAAATTATAAAATCGGAAATTTTAATAATTTTCGAAATTAATTCGGGACAACTTAAAGCTTTAAATTTTCAATGTTCATCTTAAGCTCGCAAGGATATTATTTTGAAACGTTTATTATATCTTCAACTCAAATGAAATTAATTTTGATGATTAACGAATTAGAAAATGTAATTAAACATAATATACAGCAAGTGATTTATTGTAAAAAAAAAAATAAAAAAAAATAAAAAAAATAATCAAAAGTAATTAAAAGGAATTTACCTTGCCTTTTTATTTATTACCAAATTCACCTATGCTAAGGATGAAACTTTATATTAAATGAACGTAACCTGAAATGATAGAATTTTTGTTTTTCAAATTCATTGCCGTAATAAAATTTTGATAATTGATCATACATAGCATTAAAGAAAAATTAAGTCGGAGTGATTGATTGCAAAGTTAACCCACAAGAAATATAAAATTCGGCATTTCTTACGTGTCTAAAACTCCGAAGTAAAATGTTGATAGAGACGATAAATTTTCTGAATAATTAAAATTCCATATTAAATGAAATTAATTTAATTCGATAACTTTATGATTAAAAAAAAGATTAGTCGAATTACCTTTTTACTTTGAGGAATTAGCGAGATTAAATAACTAATTCACCCATTGAAGAAAAAATATATATAAGTTGCTCAACGCCGTTTCTCCTTTTTCAACCAAAAAATTTAAGGATCGCGATTAATATTCATAATTTGCTTTTTTTAACGCGCCCAAATATCCCTCTTGCGTCGAACATTAAAAGCACAAAACAGAGATGGTTTGTTCCTTATTTTTCACAATATTTTTAGCGATCATAGTGTGCACCTCGGCCGTGCCGCAATTGTCTCAGCAACCTCAGTTGATGAATGGAGGTCAGACAAAAATGGAAGGCATGCAACAGCGGTTAAAGGAAATGAAGCAAAACATGCAACGACCAATGGATACTATGCAAATACAACAAAACATGCAGAAATCACAAGAATTAATGCAACAAGAAGAGTCTATTCCAGCAGATGACAATAATTTATGTTCTCCGGGTTTCTTTTTTGGCGGAGAGTGCCATTCATGCCCATTCACGCATTTTCAGCAATTTGGAAGCTGCTTTGGATTTTCTCCTGCGGGTTGCTCTCTTTGTCATCAGGATATTTATGTTCCGCCACCTCAACCAATTATGCCTGAAGAACCCGATGATCGAGAAAAAGAAGTAAGTATTCCAAAAGCAAATTGGTTTAAATTTAACAATAAACCCTCAAATTCCTAAACAAAACCTAACTTTGAACCTAATCTACTTGTGAGCCTGAAACCGAAACCCCCGAACCGACCAGCGAACCCACTCCAGAACCTACGCCCGAACCGACCAGCGAACCTACTACGGAACCTACGCCCGAACCGACCAGCGAACCTACTCCAGAACCTACGCCCGAAACAACCTGCGAACCTACTCCGGAACCTACGCCCGAAACAACCTGCGAACCTACTCCGGAACCTACGCCCGAAACAACCTGCGAACCTACTCCGGAACCTACGCCCGAAACAACTTGCGAACCTACTCCGGAACCTACGCCCGAAACAACCTGCGAACCCATCCCGGAACCTACGCCCGAAACAACCTGCGAACCTTCTCCCGAAACAACATGTGAGCCTGCTCCCGAAACAACATGCGAACCTACTCCCGAAACGACTTGTGAACCTGCTCCCGAAACTACTTGTGAACCTACTCCCGAAACTACTTGTGAACCCACTCCCGAGATAACTTGTGAGCCTTCTCTTGAACCAATTCCAGAACCTTGCATTACATACATATATGAAACCACCCAAGTTATATGTCCTACACCGGGAGAAACAGAAGAAGAATCGGTCGAACAACCCCTGTCAGTTGAATATCCAATCGAGGAACAGCAGCCGGGTGGTGATGATGAAAAGAGATGAGATTGCACGTAGAATAAATGAAAATAACATTATTTTCTATGTAAGTAAATAATACGTCGAGGACTTTAAACTTAAATTTGTGTATTTACGTCGCGTCACAATAACCGATTTTATTAGGTTGTTTTCTTGTATTTTACATATCTTTTATGTAGTCTTTAAATATAAATTGTCATTACCAAATATAATATAAACACAACAGTTAATTATTGATACAAAAATTATTATAATC